TTCGAGAGAAATTAAGAAAAATGAAAAGCCGCTCTACATATGAGGGGTGATTTCATCCCTTAAAACCGTTTTTCAGCAGCAACGGAAAATGTCAATACTCATCTATTGACCTCCCTTACATGTGTGCAAAGTTTCATCAAAATCAGAATTTTCAGGTTCGCGAGGTTCCCTTGTTAGTCGTGTCAAGAAAGAAGTACCTGAAGAGCAAGTCCGAGCCTCAGTCAACAAGATTCGCAGGACGGCCACTGGAGATCTGTTGATCATCCTCTTAAAGGAGAACACAGATAAAGATTATGGTCTGCAAAAAACCATCAACGCCATTGTTGGAGATGATGCCAAAATCATCAGCAAAGGACCACAAGAAGATGTCGAAATAAGAGACCTTGATGAAATGACCACGAAGAATGAAGTACTGGCAGCTCTACAAAAAGCGGTGGGTGAAGCAGAAGAAATATCGCTGGACGCAGTCAAATCACTGCGTAAGGCTTACGGAGGTACCCAGACTGCCGTAGTGACTTTGGCGGCAGCACTGGTAGAGAAGGTACTGGGACTAGACGGTAAGATCAGGATCGGTTGGGTCAACTGCCGGATAAGAACACTGACAAGACTGACCAAGTGCTTTAGATGCTGGCACTACGGACACCTGGCTACGAGGTGCAAGAGTAAAGTGAACCGATCCAACTGCTGTTCCAAATGCGGAGAAAAAGGTTAGGTCACAAAGCTGTGTCATGCAAAAAAGATGCCCGATGCACGCTCTGCGTCGAAAAAGGCGACATAAAAAACTGTGGTCACATAGCCGGTAGCAGCAGATGCTCAGTCTTTAAAGAAGCACAAAAGCGTAAAAAGAGCTAAGTATGGAGTTGAAAGTACTACAGCTGAACCTCAACCACTGTGAGGCTTTGCATGATTTGCTCATGCAAACCGTGCGCGAACTGAAGCCAGATGTCGCATTGATCTCGGAGCCATACAGACACTTCTCAACAAAACCTTGGGAATCGGACAGCACCTCGGGGGCAGTCATTTGGTCCTGCCCCCCGTTCCAGAGCGTTGCTAAAAACACAGAGACTGGTTTTGTGGTGGCAAAGTCGGAAGAAATACACTTCTACAGTTGCTATGCCCCACTCAGTCTTACTCTCGACGAGTTCGTGGATTTTCTTGACTGACTGACTGAAGATGTCAAACAACACACGCATGTGGCAATTGCCGGTGACTTCAACTCCTGAGCTACGAACTGGGGCAATAAAGCGACTAATGCTTAAGGAAAAGCACTGCTGGAGGCGATGTCCACTCTGGACGTGGTCCTGCTCAACAGCGGTAATAAACCAACGGTTGTAAGAGGGGAAGTAAGTTCCATAGTGGACCTTACATTCGTTAGTAGTAGCCTCGTTAAAGGAAATCACTCGTGGGAGGTGACGGACATTTACACTGCCAGCAACCACTGTGCCATTCTGTGGAAAGTGTCCACAGGCCAGAACACGAGAAGGGTGAACAGCAAAACCAACCAAATAGATTGGAAGGTGAGCTCCTTCGACCCCGAATCTTTCAAGGTAGCCCTAAGTTACTATAAAACCGGAGACGGGTGTGCTGAAAAGAAGTCAGAAGACATGATGAGAAGAGTCTCGGAAGCCTGTGACGCCACTATGCCCCGAAAACGCGGAACAAATCATCTTCCACCAGTTCACTGGTGGAATGACGACATCGCTGCCCTCCGTAAAAAATGTCTTGCCACAAGAAGGGCATCGCAGCGAGGCAGAAATAGTGCAAACCCTGCGCAATTGGTAGAAAAGTACAAAGTGAAAACACGCCGAAAACTCAACAAAGCCATCAAAAAAAGCAAAAAAAAATGGTAGAATGAGCTTATTAATGAGGTAGAGGGTGACCCGTGGGGTAGACCGTGTAAGAGGTGGTTATGTCCCATCTGAGATACCAACTAATGCCGACCCCCACGTGTCCCAGACTTCTTGAGGCAATTGTATCGGCGTTGTTTCTTGAACGAACGGAACTACAGCACCTGACGGACCTGCAAGAAATCGAGGAAATATCGCTGATCACAGAAAAACAGCTGATGGAGGTCTGCAACAGAATCGGGAATACGAAGGCACCGGGCGTGGATGGAATTCCGAATGTCGCCCTTAAGGAAGCCATCAAAGCAGCGCCATCACTGTTTCTGGATGTGTACAATGCCTGTTTTAAGGAGGGTATTTTTTCTAAGAAGTGGAAACAGCAGAGGTTGGTACTTCTGCCCAAAGGGAAGAAGCCTCCAGACGACCCATCAGCGTACCGCCCGCTTTGCATGTTGGACTTAGCAGGTAAGATACTTGAGGGCATTATCCACAGAAGGATTGAAGCAATGGTCGAACCGCTGATGTCCAACAACCAATATGGCTTCCGGAAGGGCCGCTCTACTCTGGATGCGATCGACCTTGTCGTCCAAACAGCCAAGGAAGCTATAGCTGGAACTAGATGGAAGGGAGGAGCGAACAATACTGTCTGGTGGCAACACTGGACATCAAGAACGCGTTTAACTCCGCCAAGTGGGACTGCATCATGGAAACTCTCGGCAAAATAAATGTTCCTGGGTACCTACAAAGGATGGTAACAAGCTACTTCACCGATCGGATCCTAAAATATGACACGGAGGCCGGCCCGAAGGAATACATGATCACTGGAGGAGTACCGCAGGGTTCAGTCTTGGGTCCACTATTGTGGAATGTCATGTACGACAGGTTGCTGAAGCTGACGTTGCCAAGGGAAGTTCAGCTTGTGGCGTATGCAGATGACGTGGCCATAGTGATCGTCGCGAAGCACCTGGACGAAATAACCCTGGCTTTTGATACTACCTTTGAGCAAATCAATCAGTGGATGGACACAGTTGACCTGAAGTTGGCGAAACACAAGACCAACGCAGTTCTCATCACTAGCAGAAAGCAGCTGGAAACCATCACTCTGCGAGTCGGAGTACATGAGATAACCTCCCAGCCGTTCATCCGGTGCCTGGGAGTGATGATTGATGCTCGCCTCAACTTTAGGCAACAGGCAGAACACGTGGGCGCCAAAGCATTGGTGGTCAGAGAGTCTCTAGCACTACTCATGCCAAATCTAGAGGGCCCAAAGCAGAGGAGGAGAACACTTTTATAATCCGTGGTCACGTCTGTGCTTACGTATGGAATCTCCATATGGGGCGATACACTCAGGACGCAGGAATCAAGAAGGAAGATAGCTCCAGTACACCGACTTAATGCCCTGAGAGTAGCCAGCGCTTTCCGAACAGTGTCCAAAAACGCGGCTTGCATCATAGCCGGGATGTTGCCAGTGAACATACTTGCTGAAAAACGGAAAGCTCTCTACCGGCGGAAAGGTTCCAAAGCACTAACACCCGAAGAGCTCAAAGCAGATAAACGGCGAAACAGCATACGGCAATGGCAAACTAGGAGGAACAACACAACTAACGGCAGGTGGACTTACCGTCTCATCCCTGAAGTAGAGGTCTGGTTGAATCGCGATCACGGAGAGGTCAACTACTACTTGACGCAGATAATCTCAGGGCATGAGTGCTTCAGAGAATATCTCTTTAAATACAAGCACAACACTTCACCAGAATGCCCGTGCTGTCTCGGAGTCAGTGAAGATTCTGAACACGTGTTCTTCGCGTGTCCTCGGTTTAAATCTTCACGCAGTACCTTGGAAACTGTTCGTAATCAAGAAATACGGCCAGAATCTTTAATAAGAGCCATGTTGTCATCGAAGACAGCTTGGGAAGCGACGAGCGTGTTTGCGACAGAAGTTCTCAAGGAGCTCCGTCGCATAGAGAGAGATCGAGCGCTAAGCCGAGAGAATTGAAGATAGGAAGCCTTGACTTTGACCGCCAGATGAAGCAGTAGCTAGATCCTCCCCCCGTGAAACAGTGCCTAGCGGCAGTCCCGCGGGGGACGAGGCTGAGGAGGTTTTCAGTCGGTAGGGGGTCCCCGAATCCGAGTCCGACATATCCTGGCAGAACAACTTGCCAGGAACACTTACCGTGTTTTCCTACCTCAAATCAAGGAAAAAAACACACACACACAATTATTATCATCGTCATCGTCATTGTCATGTCATTTCGGCGCTTCACTGTCCTGAGAACATCGTGGGACTTTTCGTCAAGAACATCATGCGGTGCCCGAACAAGAGAGAGAGAAAGGAACCGAGGTGCGAAGTCTCGCTTCCAGGTCACGTGGAAAGCCAGGGTAGGTGACTGCAGGCAGAGGCCACAGCGGAGCATCAGCGCTTTAGCTTAGCAGAACGGGCGGAACGGCAGAATGCACCATCAACGAGCCGGCCTACGCCAAGATGTGCGGTGTCTCCGCCATCCGGCTGCATGGTTTCAAGGACCCGCTGCTTGTATCATTGCTGCATCTCCTGGATTGCTATCCTGCCCCGCTGCTTGCTGGTTTACTTATGCTGCTGTAACATAGTACTAGACACTGCGAGCGTTCAAATTTCGCGGCCCGCTGATCCTGCCGCCTGCGAGTGAGCTTGCGAGCCGCGCCGCTAATCCTGCGACCTGATTGGCCCTGCGACCTACCCCACGCGACCTTAGCGCTACTCGGGGTATCGACCGCGTATCGAATAAAATCTTCTTGCTCTTGGTCGCGAACAGCTGTGCGAGACACACGCATCTTTTCGGGCTCCCGTGCGTACGCGTATCTTCCGTGCCGTCTAAGTAGTCTGCCGTACCGCGATTTAAGATTCAAGGCGAAGTGATTCTCGTCGAGAGGGTGACTCCGGCGGAGTCCAGGAAAGCTGAACGAAGAGTCAGTCCGGACGGAGAAGACCGGGACATGCCGGAAAACAACCAGCGACGGTCAGGTTTTAGTCCAGTTAGCCACAAATCCGCGTTGCACAGGCCTCGTGTCGAGGCTGGTCGCTCGCCTTTCGCGTTTTGTTTGTGACGGCAAGGACGTATCCTTGGCCGTGTTTACGAGTGTTTTTCGACAGCGGCCAGAATCGGGCTTACGGGACTTCGTGGCAGTAGTTTGTAGGTTCGTAGGTTAAGTGCATGTTTTGTCGTAATTATCGCAAATTGAAGTCAAGCCCTGGAGTGGCGATCCGGCGCCAAGTAGCCTATTCGCGTTATTTGTGTGCGTCGGTTTCTATTTCCTTTTGTCTTGTTTATCTAGCGAGCATATTCGTGTGCGTGTGCTGTGATTATCGGAACGTATTGCTCGCGTACCGTCATATCTCGTCTACCGACGGCAATCATCCGCCGCGGTAAGAAATCGTCATAACAAAATCGGATTTTTCTCATGCGATCGGCTAGAGTAAGGAGTGTGCGAGTCGGAAGCTGTGTTGATCGGTAAGGAATATTGTGCCAAACTAACGTGCGGATTAACGACCATTTCGGATGGTGAATTTTCAAGACAATTATTGGCGAACTATTTGCGAGCGTACGGTGAATGCGTGTCGCCTTTCGAGCGTATAAGTTGTCCGGGATTATTCGCGATCGAGTCAAGTATCGTACCGCCGATTTTCCTAGCGCCAAGATAGAGAGCGTTGCTAATCGTGTTGTGATAATCGAAAGGGAAAAGCCAACTCCGACGTCGCACCCCCTTCGCTCGTTATCGCGAGTACGTTCTTTTGAGTGGATGCGCGTAGATTGAGAAATCGGCTCGACGTAATCTTTTGGGCCTAGCGACACGAAACCGGCGAAAGTTGCGTGGCAGGGTGAGCCAGTCC